ATAATTGATCAGTCTCTAAAGCCATCCAAGCAGTGTGCTATTGTTAGTGGTAGGGCAAATATGATTGTATGTTCTATCTACAGAAATATTGAATACAAGTCTAAAGAGGTTATTGTTTCATTGTATAAGTCACTGGTTAGGCCACATTTGGAATATTGTGTTCAATCTTGGGCTCTTTACCCTAGGAAAGACATTGAATTGTTGGAAAGGGTTTAGAGAAGGGTTACTAGAATAGTGCCTGGGATGGAGGGGTTGTCATATGAGGAGAGGTTGAAATCTTTCAGATTGTTTTCTCTTGAAAATAGAAGAGTTAGGGGGGATTTGATTGAAGTGTTTGAGATTGTAAAGGGGATTGATAGTGTTGATGCGTCATCTTTTTTCATACTTAACAGTGATAATAGTAGGACTAAGGGACACAAATATAAACTTTGGCAGTGAAGAGTCATCTTCAGCTAAGACAGTTTTATTTTTCTAACAGGCTGGTTGGCCTTCAGAAAAGGTTGCTTTCAGATGCTGTGGATGCAGTAAGTTTAAAAGAAAGCTTGATAAATATGAATGATAAGGGCTGGTTTTTAAATTTTTTTTAAATTTATTTATTAATAATTTAGTTTAGAGAATGGAAGAGCCAAAATGGACCAATAGGTCCCATGTTGTCTCAAAATGTTATGTTATAAAAAATATTGTATGTTGCCTGTTTGTCAGTCTGCTGAATTACATGTTGTCTGTCTGTCATATGTTGTTACCATACCCATGTATATATTTGTCAATCTACCCATGTATACATTGTTTGTCAGTCTACCCATGTGTATGTTGTTTGTTTGTCAATCTTCTCATGCATATGTTGTCTGTCAGTTTACCAGTGTATATGTTATTTGTTTCTAGTATACACATGTATATGTTATATTGTTTGTTTTATACATATATACACCCATCTATATTCTTTTCAGTCTACCAATATTTTTTATTCTACCCATGTTTACTTTGTCTTTTTTTGATTCGTTGTTCTGTTCAGTAATGTATTATCTGTTTGCTAGACTACCCATATATATATGTATTATGTGTTGGTATTTGTAGGTTTTTAATATACTTGTGTACTCATATTGGTTTTTACACATCTTATATGTACTTATAGAACATTATTAAATTATTCATATACTCATAGAACTTTAATATATCACCCATGTACTCATCACACTTTAATTTGCCATTTATAAACTCTTAATATTTAAAGTGTAAATTCTACAGCCTAAAACAAGGCAAAATAATGAAAATTATATCTCTCAGAAAGTTCAGCAAATTCAGAATAATGGCTTTCTTTTCTGTTCTAAGAAAACTGCCCAGACTCTGTAAGCCAAGAACATACATGTACATACAAGACACCAGAAGAAAAGAAGGTTGCTGAGAAAGCTTTAAAAACATGTCAGGTCTTGTGGGATTCAAAGTTTTCAGTCTGCCATCATGTAAGTCTTAATGTGGTTAGCTATATGACCTTCTAAGCTGTATAAAGCAATGTTTTCAGATGTTTAACCATCATTCATCTTAAATAATACCAGGTGTGATAATACCACTGGTGTCACATGTTTAGATGGCAGTTACTTAAGTAAAAACATGTGTGATGTACCACTGGTGTCACATGTTTAGATGGCAGTGGTATCATCACACATGGTTTTACTTAAGTAACTAGCTATCATATGACAGAAAATATGGTAATAGAGGAATCTTTGAAAATTCAGTAAAATGTTCTATAGACTTCATTCTGATTTGTTATGTAGGAAACTTACATGTGTAAAATCTTAAAATGCCATCTTTATTTGTTGTGTACAGTATATATATATGTTTGCTTTAGTAAGAATAAATTTATTTGAAATGCAAGTTCCTTTGACATTTTGCAGTATTTCATAAAAATTTCTCATGTCTTTTTTACAAATTTAATACTTTGTTGAAATTGTCCAGCCTGTGTTTTGGTAGTTAAGTAGAAATAATACAAATTTACTTAAATTATATAGTCAGTAGCATTCAGTGTGTTTGGTATTTTGTTCTTTGTTTTGCTTAAAAATGTTGTGAACATGATCATGAATAATGTTTCTGAAAGTTATAGTTAATATATTTATAATGAATTGTATACATGCTAAAAATCCATATTATCATTAGTTACCTATATCATAATTTACAGAATTAATCAACATTCGTATATTGAAGCATATTAAAGTCCTAGGCTGTCTTTAATCAATACCTTATTAGTTGTCTAATATTGTAATTTACAGATCATTAACCCAGTACGATATATTGAAGTTTATTGAAATCCTAGGCTGTCTTTACCCAATCTTATCTTGTTGCCTGTCTCCTGTTTACACCGGCCACTTCCCTCGCTGAATTTGAAAAGCTGCGCATGCAGGCAAAACGCAACATTCATTTTTGAAACGACGGGAAAATAGCCATGAATAATGTTGATGTCAAATTTTATTTCTCAAACAAGATATTCTACACTAAATCGTTAGGAATTAATCACACTATCATTCACCTTTCAAAATGTGACTTAGCTTAAAGTATAAAAATATAGATTTACCGTATGTTATTGTTGAGCAACTCTTAGCATGACCGAAGTGCTCAACAATTACTTTTCGAGGTGGATGGTATAAGTAGCCCAGAGCTTTGGATCTGAGTAAAACCAAGAGTGCAACATATTAACTTTTTTTAAAGTCCATGAAATAATTTAAACTAATAGATTAAATTATACTTTCTCCATCATCCGGGATGGGTACTTTTGCTGGATTTACTTAAACTTTTCCCACCAATGTGGATGGGTACCTTTGTTTGTACCTTATCATTTACCTAATATTTTGTTTTACAGATCATTAATCCAGTACCATATATTGAAGCATATTATAGGCTGTCTTTACCCAATACCTTATTATTTAACTAATGTTGTGTTTTACAGATCATTAAATTGATACTACATGTTGAAACGTACTAAAATCCTACTTAGACATTATGCTTTACAGATTTTTAACCCTACACTATATATTAGAGCATCCTGTAAATCCAGGCTATTAGTACTAATCAAATATTGTGGTTTATAGATCGTTAACCCGATTCCATATATTGAAGCTTGTCGTATGGATTACTGTGCATGTTTAGTATCCAGAGAAGAGTGTGTGTGCAACAGTCTAGCTGAGTACTTCAGAGAATGTGTGCGACTAGGAGGGAAAATACCTGAAGGATGGAGATCAACAAAGCTTTGTCGTAAATATTTTTCTTCAGTTGACCAGTAAAGACAATGTTAAAAATGTTTTTCTCATCTATACCTTTAAAACAACTGCTAATAAAATGATCTGCTTATATTTAAAAAAAGAAATAAAAAAGATATACTTGTACCAAAGATAAACATCTTGCATTAGCTACCTTACTTAATATCTGCATAAGTGTGTACTGCTGTAACTTTGTAATGATTATCAAAAAGTACTCATTATCATATATATTTATATATATTTTCTTGTTACTAGTTTTGAATGTACTAAAGTTTGATGTTCTGTTAATTATCAACAAAATGTTCTGTGATTGTTTTTAGTGCTTTAATTCAATGTACTTGTTGTTTTAATATAAATCCATAAAAATATATTTGATATTCATGTACTTGTAAAGCATATTTTATTAGAAGTTATTACTGCCCATTTAAAAATGAACAGAAATGTGTAGATTGTGTCTAATGTTACTATAAGTGTTTAATTTTTGTTCATTAGCCCTGAAGTGCCCTTCAGACATGGTTTACCTTGATTGTGGAAGCTCGTGTCCAAAAATGTGCAGTAGTGTTAAATATGATTGTGAAGATGAACATTGTGTAGATGGTTGTCACTGCCCTGAGGGTACTGTTCTTCTACGTGACAGGTGTGTTAAACAGGACAACTGTCCTTGTCTCCATGGTGGCAAGTATTATGAGCCGGGTGAGAAAGTTGAACAAGAATGTAACTCATGGTGAGTAATTTGTTATTATTGGTTGGTAATGTGCTACTACTAATACTTCTGTTTCATTAAAGGAATTAAGACACATCAGTGTAACTGTTACTTACTTGTTTAATTTCAATCTTTTGTCCTAGCTAGGTTTTGTCATTGTGCCTCAGATTTACTTGTTGAATTATCACTTATGGATTTCTTAAGGTCCTGTATGAGTAATCTGCTTTCATTCCTTTCTACAAACAGCTTTCTTTATCTTACAATCCAGAAATATAACACTCATAGCATTGAACTGATGTTCACTAATAAACTATTTTCTTAACCAAAACCAAAAGTATTACACTTATAACTCATGATACAACCCACAGTATATGGTATAACTTGTAATACAGCAAACAGTGTACAATACATCAGAACTTCAGTTAACGGGCATCTCGAAACAATGAGCACTGTGCCATTAAGGCCAGACCTCTTCAGTCTCTTTCTTTTTCTACTAATTGTAACCAAAATAGATTTTGCAATAATGGGCACTTCATTATTCTGAATTAAGGGCAGTGTTGTCAGGTTTTAGAAAGGCCACATTTCTTTACAGTAGGTATGTGTGACTTGTTAGTGATAAATTTGAACAATAAATGGACAGCACACAATCCACTTGTTTTAAAATAATATATTCAAAACAAATCAAATGTAGGTACAGAAATTCTTTACACTATAGGATATCACAGTTGTATGTAAAACTCTAAATAATTCTCTTTTCTTGTCAAAAGTCCACACAAGCTGATTCATTTACTTTAGAATCCAACTGACAAGACAAATCATTTTTCTCTACTCTGTTTCTTATTATACAATCTGTGATAAATTCACTTCTGTTAATCCGTGGGTTACCCGGAGCTACAAGTAATTGTCTCCTTTTCATCAGAGTCCACACAGGAGGGTTCACTTACTTTAGAACAAAATAAATTATTCTCCTTTATCTCTATTATTACAATACCACTGTGAAGCTCACTTTAAATATTGCCCATTATGACTAAACTAACAATTACACAATCTAACTTTCACTTAATTAACATTTTCTGACTTCACTTTTTCTGTGATCACTTGGTTCCCTATATATGTACATAGCCCAACTGAGGCCTAGAACTTTCTCCAAACTCTGAGATGCTATGATGTAACAATACTCACTTAAGGCAACGAGAAAAATACAGAAGGTTCTAGTAATGTGACGTCAAATTACAACAATTAAACTATACACACAATGTACGACTCTTACTGAGTTACCTAACGAAATTTGTCATAACTATCACCTTTAAAATAATTACTTTTACACTCTTGTTATGAAAACTAAATAATCATTAAATATTAGATCACTGAATGAACTAAATAATAACTCTTACACTAACACTCTTGTATATCCAACAAGTGTCTTTAATCTTGTTCTCTATATGGGCACTTGATAAAGTGGATAGTTATCTTTGTATGCCTTTATGGTATACCACTAAATTCCAAACATCCCAGAAGGATGACCATTATTCAAACATGAGGTTTATTGGAACGGCTCCAAACCATATGCTGTAATAAATGTTTTCACAGAGTCAAAGTGCAATCTTATTACTCTGGGGAATTCTCATTGTAAACACTGTAGGGTACATAAGATAATAAAGTTAAAGAATTTATCATCTAGCTGAAAATCAAGAAACGCTAGTTAATAATGTATTCTTATGTTGAAACTTAAAATTACTTTTCTCTTAGCTGAAAGTAAACAAAAGAATGACAACAAAGTTCTTGATATTATCTTAAGTGTTACTCATTTTTTAAAAACACTTTTGCTTGTTGTTTTTTATCTCAGCGTAACAGATTATGCACTTCATTGTGATAATAATGGCGATTTATTGTAGTGAATGTCGGGCAGGAGAATGGATATGTACCAAGCAAAAGTGTGAAGCACGTTGCGCTTCTACGGGTGATCCTCACTACACAACTTTTGATGGTAACAGTTATGATTTCTTGGGCACCTGTTCTTACTATCTAGTGTATCATGACAAGTTCAGTATTGTTCAAGAGAATGCACCATGTCAGACTGCAAAGATCGTTGGAAAGAAAAATACTCCATTTTCAAACTTTGGTTCATGCACAAAATCTGTTACCATTACTATTGGGAAGAGTGTCCTGACCTTGAAGCAAGATTTCCAGGTAATGAGAAGTTTTGTCTTTTAAGACACAACAAAGATAGTTTATTTGCATATATATATATATATATAGAGAGAGAGAGAGGAGTTTAGAGGAGTGCAGTTACAAAAAATTATTATTTATGCAACCATACCGTAAAACGTTCATAACATACCACCAGTAAAAAAACATGCATTTTTTTTCATTAATACAAAATTATTTTTAAAATATATATATACACATGAAGGCCAATCTGTCATTAGATTCACCACCTTACGCTGAATTATACCATCCTTATGAGTAACTCTGTACATGTAAAATCGAAAACTAGACTAGGCTTCCTATTTTGATGAACTGTATGTTACATGTATGGTTTTTTTCAGAATACATTATTCACTTCTTTACAGAATAAATAGTTAGTGCCTTGGCATTGCTGTTGAAAAGCTTTGGTCATATGCCAAGCCAATGTAAAAGCTCTCACTCCTACACATATTAACGTTAACAATACTTGGTCTATGATGCAGTCAGCGTTAGACTATACCCTTTCACCAGTAGGTATGATGCAGTCAGCGTTAGACTATACCCTTTCACCATTAGGAGAGTGACACATTCTCCTTTCATAGTACTCCTCTTGAGCACTTTGTGTAAAACATCATTTTTTGATACAACACTACAAAAACAAATTATACATTTTTTTGATACAACACTACAAAAACAAATTATAAATTTTTTTGATACAACATTACAAAAACAAATTATAAATTTTTTGATGCAACATTACAAAAACAAATTATAAATTTTTTTGATACAACATTACAAAAACAAATTTTATATTTTTTGATACAACATTACAAAAACAAGTTTTACATTTTTTGATACATTACAAAAACAAATTAAAATTTTTTGATACAATGTTACAAAAACAAATACATTTTTTTGATACAGCATTACAAAAACAAGTGATATAATTTTGATATAATGTTACGAAAACAAATTATACATTTTTTGATACAATGTTACAAAAATAAATTATACGTTTTTTGATACAACGTTACAAAAACAAATTATACATTTTTTGATACAATGTTACAAAAATAAATTATACGTTTTTTGATACAACGTTACAAAAACAAATTATACATTTTTTGACACAACGTTACAAAAACAAACTCTATATGGATGTTTGGAAGCATATCTTGTCATTATGCATACCTTTCGATGATGAAGTATTTTTGAGATTTAAAGTTGCTGATTCAAGAATGCTGGAGAGTTGAGATCTTCTTATTCAAACTTTGTGTAATTAAGATATACGTATCATTCCTGAAGTTCACACTTATACAAATTATAACAAATATATCACATTACATCAAATATAGGCAAATAAATTGGAATTAATTTTCCTTTGATATTTTTAAAAGGAAAGTAATATTTACACGATTTATAATATTTTTATTTGAATGTGACATTAAATATACAAAACTAATATTTAAATACCAAAATTAATACCACGTGTGAAATATGTAATATCCCAAGAGTTGCACTGCCAGTTGATGTAATCTTTTGCTTTTCGTATGCAATGTAATATTCTCATGTTATTGCTACTTAATAGCTCTAGCTATATGTTGTAAAGTTACGTTCTGACTATGTATATAAAATGTTATCACGTAGTTACTACATAGTGGCACAACGTTATTACTACATATTATTCGGACACTACCATGTCACTATGTAGTAAATACATAGCATGTTTGCTGGGATACTGCCAGGGTGGATGATTGAATGTTTTATCTACCCATTTGTCCTCCATTCAATTTCTTCTCTGTATGATTATTCAAATTCTGATTATCTCCTTTGTCCTGTTTTGATAGTACAATTTTATCTTGTTTGCAGAGTTCCTTTTAGAGGTGACAAAAATACTTTTTTCCCTGTTGTGGGATTACTCTACTTCTAATAATTTCTCTCCATCTACTTTGACTAAATGGATTAAGCAACTTATCCAACTTGTCTATTCTACGATGTCACCTCTTGTCATGTTCATCTCCTTACTGCTTTTCTTGCCTTTGACTGTCAAAGTCCCCTGGATGAAATATTGCAGGCTGGGATGTGGACAACCACAGACACCTTTGTGTCACATTACTTATATCACATTGTGGCTTTATCAGCTTATGAATGTTTCCTCCTTCCAGTCACCATTCTTGAATCTTCCTAGAGGCTATAAGAAGATGAGTTGTTCTTCAAACAACAAAAAAAAAGAAACACAGGTACCCGCTAAGTGACTGTTTCAGTCTCACAGGGAAAATGTCTCTATTTCAAAAGCAACAGCATGTAGGGGATACCAGAAAGTGTTCAAACCATCTGCCACTGTTCAATGTAGTTTCCACAAGACTGCTTTAGCAGTATAAATATATATTTACCTTCTAAACCATTTTGTGCCAACAAAAATGAAAAGAGTGGCTACATCCACTCAACTTAACATGTTTTGTTATCCCTATTCATGATAACCAATTTCATGTTATTTCATTGAGGGACCTTATTCAAATTAGATGATTTATTTTCAGTCTATGGTGTTTTCCCCTATGAAAATTCCGTCGTCCCAATTTCTTCTAGTTGAACATGAGAATGCTTGTTTTCTCAGTATTAAGTCACAGGTCAATCTAGGCAAGTGTCAGAATGTAAGACTTTCCCCTGAACCTGAATAACCTTATTAAGTATTTCTCTCTTACTGTACAGCTTTACACATTGCCCTATCCACACTTCTTTTATGTGGTCTTATAGTAGCTTTGCTCATGTAAAAAAAAACTTGTTGGCAGTATATATAAAACCGAGACTCTAGATATTTGTTTCTGTGGAGAGGCAAGTACATTTTCAAGGAAGAAAACATTTAATGAATGAAAGACAATTAAACACACATCATACTTATAAAAGTATATTTTGTTTGATATTACTAGTGATTTATTTATGAAGCAAAATAAGCCATGACACAAGATTGCATGATATTGATTTAGAGAATTGGGCTTAGGGCAGACCAGTAAATTTAACAAAATAAATTTGAGGGTTATTTGTGATATTTTAAAAATTAACTTGACTAGCAAGATATCCATGCATACTGCAAGTTTTTGGGATTTTTATGTTTGTTTATTTGTTAAATTTTGCATAAAGCTACTGGAGGGCTGTCTGCACTTGTATTTCCTAATTTTTTAAGTTGTAGACTAGAGGGAAGGCAGTTAGTCACCACCATCATCCTTTATCAACTCTTGCGCTATTCTTTACCAATGAATAGTGGGACTGATTGTCACATTATAATGCTGCCATGTTTGAAAGGGTGAGCCCTAACCACTAGGCCCAAGTTTTGGGGAGCCCATTTACATTGGTTGTGCATGAATAAAATCTTAGCTTCTTTGTCAACTTAAATTCAGTTGACAATAGTTATATGAAACTTCTTTGTGATCACACACTATAGATGTAGTAAGATTTATTTGATCAACAAGACATACTGTAGATGTAGTGATCACCAAGACACACTGTAGATGTAGTATGATTTAGTGATCACCAAGACACACTAGGTGTAATAAGATTTAGTGATCACCAAGACACACTGCAGATGTAGTAAGATTTAGTGATCACCAAGACCCACTGTAGATGTAGTAAGATTTAGTGATCAGTAAGTCACATTGTAGATGTAGTAAGATTTAGTGATCATCAAGACACACTGCAGATGTTGTAAGATTTAGTGATCACCAAGACACACTGTAGATGTAGTATGTTTTAGTGATCACCAAGACACACTGTAGATGTAGTAAGATTTAGTGATCACCAAGACACACTAGGTGTAATAAGATTTAGTGATCACCAAGACACACTGTAGATGTAGTAAGATTTAGTGATCACCAAGACACACTGCAGATGTAGTAAGATTTAGTGATCACCAAGACACACTGTAGATGTAGTATGTTT